CGGTAGTGCGTGGGAAACGTAGCCGCATTTGTCTGACCGCCAACCGCTTCTAGAAAACTGTCGAACTCTGAAGTGCCCAAATGCGACGGGAACCGCGCACTACCCAGGTACGCCGAGTGCTCAAAGAAATGCGCTATCCCCGGCAAAGCATCCTGGAAGCTTCCGCTGTTCAGTCCCAATGCAACCTTGGCCGTCCCGAACTTTAGTCGCGGATCATGACATAACAGCAAGTCCACCACCGCTTCCTACAACCAGGGCATAGTGTAGGTAGGAGGCCTAGCTGGTGAGATAGTGTAGGTAGGTGTGGAGTACCTCGTTGTGTTTGACTTGTCTGTGTATGAAGCGTCTCGGGTCGGCCACAGCAGCGGCGGTGAGCAAAATGGAGCCGCGGAAATTCATGGCAAATGAAGAGGTAGGCAAGTGTGTGCTCCACGTGCGGTCGTTGGACCGGATCATTCTGCAAGGAGTCAACCACTTGTTGGGGGAAAGCAACGCAGCGCTCTACTCAGAGAATGCTTCCCACCGTGTTTCGCCGCGCAAGATTCTGGCACTTGACTCCCAGATCCGACGGAAACGCTTCTTCGTCAAGCTCATGAAGAATGAAGTCTCCATCAACAGCTGGACACCCTGCGAATTGTCCGCCGCACACCCAGATCTGAAGCACCTCAACCTCCCCCAGCTCCTGTTCCTCTTTACCCGGGTCGCCAGCTCCAGTAGAACTATCAGAACTGCCGCCACGGGAACCTGTAACCAGGAGCACATTTACTTCAGGTAAACACACCCTCAAAACTGACCCGGACTGTTCTACCTGACGCTTCCCCCAGAGATCTACACGGAGACCTTCCCGCCGAGCATATTCCCTACTCCCCGAGCATATTCCCATTTGCTACGGCACGGCTGGAACCTTAATCGTTTTAGGGAGTCGTTGGAGTTCAGAATGTATGAGAAAGTGTTCAGTCACTTTTGTAAAAGCTCTCACATCGAGAATTCAATTTATAGTTCTGTCGATCCGCGAGCCGTAAGATGTAGCTCCTTGACCCGAGTCCCCGAGCTAGCGGTCCCTGCCACTTCCAATCCCTGCGCAGCTTTGTGATCAACGAGTGGGTGTGTGTAGGCAGGTAAGGAAACATTGATCGCGATTGGCGTTCGGCAGAGACTGGTGGAGGAGCAACCAATATTGCTGGAGGAGCCGGCGTGCCGGTACTGGCGTTTGTCGTTGCCTTGTCGTAAGTCTCGGCGAGCATTGGCCCCGGTATCGTCGGCTACGTCGGGCACACGTTCGTCGGTGGCGAGTGGAACTGTCGGTGCAAGATCGCTCGGAGTTGGGGCGTCTTGTTCTTCCGCTGCCGTTTCGGAGGAGACGGTGCCAATGTTTTTGGAGTTCCCAGGTCTGAGTTATTCGTCTGTACAGGCGCCTTTGGACTCGTGTGTGTTTGCCTACTTTGTGGAACGCGACCTAATTTCTCCAGGTGGGATGTTACAGGTAGAGGTGTTGAAGTTCCCGCCGGGCGCGGTCAACTTTGAACATAAGGGAGCAAGCGCATTGGTACAACACTGCATCAGCGAACTGCAAGAGGTCTTGCAGAATCGCGATTCGAAACCGCTGCGTTCCGTTGCGAGCTCTAAGAGCTCCAAGAGCCAAAGTTCCGCCGTTAGCGAAATACTAGTCAACGCTAGGGCGCAACTCAAGGAACGAAAAAAGGCCGTTCCCGCCTCCGAACCTGGAGCCTCACCTGCTTCCCGCTACAAGTCTGCAAAGGAACTACGCCGCGTCTGGGAAAGCCGTGCCGGGCACAGTAATCGTAAAGCCCCCATCGCAGGCGGCGCCGGACCCGGGGCGGCACCCGTATCAGTAGCCCTCCCCCTCCCTATCGGGCCGCAGAAGGAATCCGGCAGTCTCCGCTTACCGCACCTCACCGCAAGCAATTTACACGCAAACATCAACAATCTACACGCACCTAACAACAACCTACACGCACCACCGAGTATACACTCATCGAGTGTGCACTCATCGAGTGTGCACACACCGAGTTTACATGCACCGAGTGTAACCTCCAACCTTACGGGCGCTAGTCCCGCCACTGTTAGTCCCAACCTCACCGCAGTGCCTAACCTCACCGCCGACTCACCTCTCGTCTCGCCATTCGGGTCGCCTTTCCTCCGTTCGCCCCTCGCCCGGTCGTCCACCGCCGGATCGCCCTGCAACGCGCCCCCCGCCGGTCTCCCCCCGCGCGGCCAGTCCGCCTTTCGCCTTTCGACCAGCTTCACCCTCGATGAAAAGCTCTTCAGACGACTCCAGACGCCAACCGCCGCAGGGGCGGCTGGCCAGCACTCAACGACAGCAAGCGGACAAGCTGGGACCGGACAACCTGGAAGCGGACCACCTGGGACCGGACAGGAGCCGATCAATTATCACACACGCTCGGCAGAAGCCAAGTCTTCTGGGAATAGACCTCCCGAGGCGGAAACCGAAGCGGCTGAGGAGATCCCAGCACCTTTAGCAGTGGCGACCCCAGCATCCTTGGCAGCGGAGACATCAGTACCCTTGGACGCGCCTGCGCTCATTGACAACCTTTTCAATGACCGAGTGAGCGAACGAATGAGCGAGCGAATTAGGGAGAGAGATAGCGGTTGCACGCGGCCTCCGAGCGAGGAGCACTCGGGACACTTGTCGCAGAAGTCAGTTCCGGCAAGCGTGGGTCTGCAGGAGGCCCCCCGGTCGCGGGAGGCGCAGACTGGATCGGCTTTGTGCAAGGTTGTCGGAGATTCTATTCCTCCTGTTTCCCCCGTTTCCGGAG